ATATATATATATATATATATATATATATTCACGCTTCGTTTGTGTAAGAATTTTTTAAATGGTAGTTGAAGTTTAAGACAGAAATTGTCATATTATAAGATTACATAGCCGTAAACAATATCGCGAGAAAGTATGTTCTTTTATAGCACCACTAGTTTGAATACGAAAATTTGGAAAGGAGCCTGCTCAACAGATTCAACCGCTTGGTCTAGTCGTTACGGGATGCCAGGGCTTAGATCCTTCCCAGATAAAAAATATTTGTAAATTACCATTTTCGGAATCATAACCATTTTCAAAATTATATTAACGGACGTTCGCCTATATTTGATATTTGATTGGACAAAGTTAGGCTCCATTCCGACACCATTCGTTCAAATATGACGAATGGATGGCTACCTCGCCGGTGAAAGATTTGGAGAAAGAGGCTTCGCAGTGAGAGAAGTAGAAATATAGATGCTTTCAGATCCAAAATTCCGGGTTTCGAGCTTCGAGCAGCCACTTTGGCTCTTAATACAGCGAGTCTCCTGCAGTGACCGCTAAGCACGGGCCAACAAGTGCAAGACTGGCACTCCACCGACTGCACCCTCCGCGTTGAACCTCGGCGTGGTGACAGGTGATTGGATTGGACGCCTATCGACAGAATCTGCGGGGGCAGATCTTTCACACTTGATCGCTGACGCCTCCCACTTCTGCCACTGAAGCAGCCGACGCCGTTGTCGTCTGAACACCGGGAAAAATATAGTGTTAGGTCTTGCTGGGCGATTCGGGCCTTGGCTATATAAACATGACACATTTATTCAAGATTATGTAAATTAGGATCCCAAAAAGTGTGAATCTATCTATCTTTCTTTCTTTCTTTCTTGCTTGCTTTCTTTCTTTCTTGCTTTCTTTCTTGCTTTCATTTATTTATTTATTTACGTCAAAAACTGTTAAAAAATGTGTGTGAAGTGCTATGAGGAGAAGTTAATTTGAAGTTACATTTATGTCCAGAAGCAAAACAAGGGGCCATCTCAGTATTTGCCCGAGGATCAGGGAAACAGGACGAAAACCTGATTGAGATGGGGGTTATTGACCCAGAAGCTGAAATACAGTACTAGTTTCAGGTTCTTTAGAATTATACAATCCAAATGGTATATAATCCGTTAAATGGCATTGTTAAAATTAATATTATACCCACACGAAGACACTGACCAATCAGAACACAGCCCTCGATGATTAGGAATGGAAGGACAGTTCTCTTTGCAGATGATACGAATATTCTTCGCAATAAAGAAACCGTAAATTATTAGACATTATTTGATTTTTAATTTGGTTCCGTAACAACAAATTAATAGTAATTGAAAAGAAAACTGTTTCAATGCAGTTTTTCGTTTCAAATAAACCGTTCTCTACTCCATTGAAAATGAACGGTGTGCTATTGATGTGCAAGTTGCGGCTCGTGCCTATTCGCACGTTCGCATGTGCACACCCAAATTAATTGGTGCATTTTCTCTTAAATATCTCGAAACAAGAGGGGAACGCTCCTCGCTATCATTTATTCTTAATTCAACTAATGTTGGGAAAGGAGTGAGGATAGATATTCTGGGACTCAAGAAAACGTGCGGATGTATAGAACAATTTTTAGAAGAATGAGGCAGTGACAGATCGCTAAGCAAGTGAACATCACGTTTAATTCAGAGAAATATTCCTCCGTACGACAGGTTTTCAGCCGCGCCTCTACGGAAAGTGTCTGTTTACGGCTCACGTGAAGATATACAGAAGTATGAGAGTTTCGCTGACGTATAAGCGCGTACGCGAGTCCGGAAAATATTGAAATTTAATTATGCATGTGGAAAAATGTCTTAACATACTCTCACATTCAGTAAAAGAATACCACGAATGTAAATAGAAAGAAAAAATACTTTTGGGGGGACGTTCAAATCATTTTCTGCGCGTTTCACAGCGAATGGCTCGTTAATTTGTGAAGTGAAGAGGTCGTTTATTTATAATTATAACACCCCTCCTCTCAAAACTTGGTACTATGCTCTCATAACTCAAATGTGACTTGTTTTATTGAATTGCTTTGAATGTCGATTTTAATACAAACAAAATATTTATCACGTAAAAACTATATTCAATGTAATGTTTTAAAAAAAGAATTTTTGCAAAAGATCACATAGCTCTGCACTTCCTAATTTCAATTATTTTTCGTGGCGCACTATATTTTCGTCGGGCGAGGACATAACAAAAGGAAGCACGAAACCATTTACAATTTAGCCAACTGCAAACGAACGAATGGAGAAAGGAGAATGCAATAGGCTCAAAGACGTAACGACCACAGAACCTTCATTTGTGTTGCCAGCACTAGCTGTCAAAACGCACCATTCTTATAAAAATAGCTCTATAAGTCCCAAGTAAAGTCGTTTCTGCTGCACAACTGTTTCTGTACAATTGGAGACTATACCGAGTATCCAAAAGGAAAGTAATATTAATTTTAAAATTGACATTTAATGTAGTATTTACCACTTGGATTATATAATGCTAAAGAATCTTTAACAAGTATTGTACTTCAGCTTCTTGGCCAATGACCACCATCTCGATCAGGTTTACCTGATCCTTGAGCAAATGCTGAGATGGCCCCTTGTTTTGTTTCTGGACATAAATGTAGCTTCAAATTAACTTCTCCTCGTAGCACGTCACACAGAGTTTCAAGTGTTTTTTACGTAAATAAATAAAACTCCTTAATTCCCTCTTCTTTTCTGAGGCATAAAGACTATCCTTTTGAATATCTTCACATTTTGGAATAGAAAACAAAATTATATGATAAGATGTACATGAATCACTGCAACTATCAAACGTTACAAAATACTTTCGACACATTTTCAAACTCCTGTAGAGATTTTGCCACTCTGTTTACAATTTAGTGCACTATATACTCGAACACCGTGTTTAGACTGGAGACACGATATCAGCTGCTCACATTGCCATCTTCCTCAAAAAAATCCTTAGTAAAGTTCTAGTTCGCAATACTTAACGAAATAATTGTTGTAACTAGCTTGAGAAATCCAAGATCGGTAGTTGGTACACTGGTATTAACAGGTTGGTATTCTGTACAATCCTCTGAATTATCTAGGTCGGTACTAGCGCCTCAAGCGGTGCCGGCTTAAGTACATTAGTGTTTCAACAAGTGTCATCCGCCGTATTATCTTAATTCTTTGACTGAAGTTGGTTGGTTGTGAGCAGATGTAAGTGGGGGTTAGTGGGTAGTGTCAGCCAGTGCTGGACCAGTGTTTAGAATCATGTCTGATTAAGTGGATTGTTTAAAAGTGCGAGGGAACGGCTTACGCTGTCGTGAGGTAGTGATTAAAAACATGAGAAATAGTAATTGTGAAATAATAGTATTTGTCGTTATGTAGCCAGAATTTGGTATTTACGAAACAATTCTAACGGTGAGCTTTATGATTTAAGAACACAGCTATTATAATTGTTTATCTCATTCGAAATTTGACCCTGGCTGCCTGCTGAATATTTTGTGAAATATATGTGCGCTACAAGTATCAGCTTCATCAAGGGACTGTGGCCAGATTGTAAATAAGCATAATAAATATTTTGCAGATGGCATCAGCTGATGGCAGTGACTTGAATTCTGCTCTGAAGCAGCTGCTGGCTAACCCTCGTGCATTCGGAAGCATTGATGATAGGCGAGCATATCTGCGGGAGGCCTTGAGGGTGGCACGTTGCTCTCCTCCTGGATACACATATTGCAGTAAGTTCCTTTTTCTTGAAATCCTCAAACGAAACAGAATACAGAAACCTACTCTTGTGATTTCTCACAAAACATTTGGCAATTAGGATCCTACTCTTGTGAACAGCTTCCAAAAGCAATCCACATCGCCTTAAGATATTACATTTTTATGCTCTGTCACTGATGCTTCTAAATATTACATCAATTTCCCTTGAAACATTTATGAACATTTCACTTACTTCTGAATGAATTTCATTCTAATCATTAGAGCATAATTTCCGTGGTGGTAGCAGATATCTTGTGGTAATCCATAAAATGGTAAAGGAAATAATCTCCATGAAAGTTTAAACTTTTGTAGAGATTATTTCCTTTACCATATTAGAGCATAAGTTTGTTGCTTCTAGTATGCTGTTTGCAAGTTTAGTTGCTGTAAGTTGTATCACAGTTCTTTGAATAATTAATGGATATGTAATTGTAGATGTGTGGATAATGTTTTCATTTCTAATTTACAAAGGCTTGCAGAATTTTGTAGGTGGTTTTTAATGTAAATGTTTAAGGATAATACAGTGTGAGCTATAGTTACTAATGTTTTGTTTAATTTATAATTGTTTTCATTACTATAAGGCAGGTTGATTTTAAGCAAATGTACTGTGATTTTGTCTCTTTATAAATAATAGTTCATAATTTGTTATGTTTTAATAATTGTGTAATAATTTACATTTTTTTCCTTCACAACCAATTCTTTAAAAATGGTTTTTACTCTCTCTGCAGGTCTTAGTAGACAACTTGCAGATCTTTCTTTCCAAGTTGGTGATAAAGAAGATGGAATTTATAACCTTGTGGAATCTCATGCAGTTATGTTGAGACACAGAGCTTTGATTAAATATCATCGAACTATGGGGTGAATATGAGAGTATTTAAGTATAGTTGGAAGTCTTGTGAGTGTCTTTAGATTAAGTAGTAATGTAGATGTGAAGATATTCATTAAATTCGGTTAATTATCAGATGAAACGTGTCATTTTTATGGAAGGGTCATAATTTAATAATTGGATTCAACACTGTTATTGCAATGGGGAAATTAGGTGTAAACCATCATTTGTCATTTATCAAATCTCTTCTCCCTCAATCTTCTGTTATTGAGACATGGAATTTTCAAATGAAACTCCATTGCTTGCTCATCAGAGGTGGGTGCTAGTAGTTCATTGGCTGAGAGAACCTCCTATGAATTATAACTTAAATTTATTGTGTTGTGAAAGTAATTATTATTTTTGAATTTTCTTTTTGGTTGGTCAGGCAGATTTGGTGAGTAAGGTAGATTTCATTTGCTGAAAGCACAGCATGGTGGAGTGCTCTTGTGAATACATTGCACCTGAGGTCATTCTCATGTTTGAACCAGCTCCGATTGAGCTTTTGTGGATATGGGGCATGGGGAAGGGGAGGGGGGGACCAGAGAGCTGTATGCTTTGAACACACAGGCCTATGCAAGCAATCACAAGCAGATATGCAAGACATTGGGGATCTTGTGTGCTCTATCACACTCCAATCAGGCAAAACCTTTTCTTCCATTTTATCGGATAGGGAATCCCCAGGATCAGGAGACCTAATTCCTCCAAATAGTCATTTATTTACTTTTTTCATAAACTTTAAAGTTCACTGGTATGTGGTAGACACATGCACTAGCTGAAAATGTCAATAAATGGTGAATCAACACACAATGAACCTATTAAATAAGAACAAGAAGTTTTTATGAAAGTTAATAGTCAGTTAATTTTCTCTTAAAAAAATGTTCAATGTTTTGCACACTGAATTCATTTTTCCTTGTGGTTGCCTCACCTGCAGTATATCCTGAAATGCTTGCAGTGATATGTGCATCATTGTTCTGTCTTGGCAAATATTTGTAAAAAGATGTTCTTGTCATGGAGTGTATTAGTCCTGCACATTGTATCACTGGCAAAATGAAGTTTTTGTTAAGTAATTGTTTACAAATCGGAGGGCAGAAAAAAAAATTAAAGAGCTTGGGTGACCTCTATATCCACTGAAGTTGCAGAGGTAAACAGCAGAAGTAAAAAATAATTGCTGAACATTAACATTAAGTTACATCAATTTGTAATCAGATTGCAGTGGATGAGAAATAGGTAGTTAAGTCATGTTTGCACATGGATATATATTGTGTAACAGTATTTTTGCAGTTATATCAGTCATGTCGCAGAATATGGCTTGTGTATACACAATAGTCCGGCCAAGCATGCTTCTGATTTTCTCTCAAGTTTGTTGATTCTCTTGTTCTTGTGATAGTGACCTAGTGATAAATGCACTGTGTCTGCTTGTTTAGTTAGATAAGGGAAAGTGTTTTGCGGTCCTAGCTTTAATGTGTTCACTTGTGATGCCACAACTTGCATTCTAAGATGGTTACTATTGCAACATGTTGTTATCTTATTGGACGTGATGTCTTGGTCATACACTTCACGTACATGCAGCTGCCTTGAGTATGATTGAGCTACCTGTGAACACATTGGAGCTTGGGAATAAGAGTATTAGCAATAGATCTACTGCAAAATAAGAGGCAATAAAAATAATTGATTTGTGATTTTTATACCTTTATTAAGATGCAAAAGGGACATTAAAAAAATAAGCATTACACCTTTTTTGTGAGGAGTCTCTTTGCACAATAGGGATTGATCATTAGGGCTTGTATTGAAAAGACATTATTCATTTATTCAGATTCACACAATTGGCAATACATATATATCAAATGTGTATTGGATGCAGATCTGTATCAGTATTAAAATACAGAAACAAAAGTTAACATGATTTACACTCCATTAAAAAAAAATTGTGACGACAGGCTGTGATAAAGTCCAAACCTAAAACTTAGCTTCAATACTTTTGCTGCATATTCTGCCCAAGAAGAGTATAAATAGATTGTAAAGCTTTACAACAATTTCAATTTACTTTTTAAATGATTGCTGTATTGTTTCTTTTTGCCTTTTGAAATTAAGTATTAATGAAACAATTTTAATTATTTATGTATGTGTGTAATTATGTTGCAGTTATTTGTGTATGGTGTTTCAGAAAATCTCCTAACAACTCCAGTGTAATTGATAAGAAATATGTTGACTTTTCTGGAGAAATGAGTGATGGATATAATTCTCTTTTAAATCGTTTAAAGGAGATGCCAGAAGGTATTGTACAAGTTACACTTGCAGTAATAAATATTGTGCATATAAAAATTGCACTTCTCTATTCTCTTCCAAAAAAGTGACTAGTTACCTGGACTCTGGAACAATGAGAATATTTTTAGAATCACAAAAATAAGAGCTGCAATTCAGACCAGTGCAATACTACAGTCCATTCAAAAATGTACAGTGGCTGCTCCACCACTCCTCTCCCTTTTGCTTGAAATTGGTAATATTCCAAACTGACCATATGTGTACCTGAGTCTGGTATATAATCACAACGAAGGTGCTTGATGAGAAGTATGGACTGCAATGAAATATACAGAAGCAGCAAGAGTAAATGAACATAATTTGAACCATAGAGTAACTTCTTTGCTCTTCATAACAATTTGATTACATTGATTTGAAACAGTTAATCAACATTTTGTAGGAAAGGTCACTTGGGTCTCAACATTGTGCTGATGCATCATTGTAATGTATATATTATTTTAGAAAAATACTTTGACATAAGTTTGTTTTGTATCACTATTGCACTACGGATGTTTTTGTAATTTTCATTCATCCAAGCATAAACTTGGTTTCGTTGAATTTTGAAACTTGTTGATAATGTAATGGGTTGTGCTACCAATACTCAATTTTAAATTTAATTATTACACAATACTTCTTTTTTACTGTATATTGCTCGACAAACTTGCTTAAACCTTCTTTTATCATTTTATAATATTTATTATGTAGATAAGTCCTTATTATTGATAATTGCTAACCACATGAACCCCTTATCCCATGGCCAAGAGGCTGGGTCACCACTGGTCGGCCAAGGCTCATTCTGGGCTGTTGAGCCATAGAACAGAATGAACTCTAGGTCTTTTAGGATCTGCCAGCAACTCAGAGCATCTATTTGTCTCACTGCAGTGCCTCTGACTTGGAGGCCATAATGTTAGTTCCAATAAGGGTAGGATTTTTGACACTAACTACATAGCTAGATTGAGTTCAGCTGCCGACTGAAGAAAAATTCTTGCGGCCGACTGCACTTACAAAGGATTAAAATCTCATTTGTAAGTGTAATATTTGAGTAAATTCATAATAATATAAAAAAAATATTATTTCAATTCTTGCACCTTAATGGGCCTCTTCAACCAAGTCTTTTAACTACTTCAACTAATGAAACTAGTTCATCTTCTTTAAAATTCTTTGAAGTTTCTTGGGATGCAGACATTACATACTATAATGTTGATCGTCTTAATTCTTCTTTTACCATACAAAGATTACCCCCTATTTATCCTATGCATGTTTTTGTTCTTGTTCATAGGTTTGTATGATGGATTGTAAAGTAATTGCAATGGTGTCTAATTTTTCCCAATCTAGAATGGACCATAATCCAGCTGAGTTGTGTTGTTGATGCTGTTTGGAGGTTTGGTGGACCAAATGCGAAAAAATGGACTCCCCATTTGGATATTGTTCGCATGGAATGTGGCCCCAGTCCAGAGTTTAAGCCTTTACACATAAGGCTTGCCCCTCCACCTGAAGCTAAACATTATGTGGTTTTGCGAGAAGTTCAAGAGATGATCATCAAGAACAACACAGACCATTTGCGTGATAAGAAAAAGGACTTTTGGCAGGCACGAGCCGAAGTGGATGTGATGATAGAAGTAAGTCAGATGCTCTAACCAATTACCAAAATTTAAAGTTTTGTATGGTAATTTTGAATTTATTGGATTTCAGTCAAACCTCATTAAATTTATGACAACCTCAGGAATCCAAAATGGGTTATTACTGTTAACCATAAGTTCTTAAGTCGATAAAAATTTTTTGTTGTTACTTACATTGATATAAGACATTCATTTTCTAGTATGTTTGGATGTGTTTGGTATTTTTAAATTGTATTTATGTAAGTTGGTCAGATTACGAAAATATTTTCTTGTTGCATACTTGTACAGAATTGTATCCATTAAGTTTGATCCAGAAAATTCCAGTCACGCACACAGCAAAGGGTGATTTCTTGAGGGATGTCACTTCTCCCAAACTGAAAAACTTCCCAAAGAGCCGATCATACCGATCTTTGTGTATACGTAAAGTTCTTCAGCATAGTATAAGCACCAGATTAGACAAAGCTATAGAGAAAAGAGGAAGATGGTGAAAACCAGTGTAGCTTCAAACCAAGTTCTTTCAGCAAGGCTCACCCAACAGTCAAAGTTGTACATCTTCTCAATGTTTTGTTCATTGTGTAGTCTACACATTCATTTTTATTATTATCGTACTCTCCAACATGCCATCAGGAGTAGTAAGTGGAAAAGGAGTCCAAAAAAGGACTGTTATAGTTAATTATTACTGTCTAAATGTTTAATATTATTTCTCTGTTACGTTTCCTTGCTTTCTAGCAACAGACCTTAACTGCATATTTTTTCACTTACAAATTATTGATTTTAAAATACTTATATATAAATCCGTATTCATGGTTTGTGATATTAAATACTCACTAAAATTGAAAGGGTTTGAAAATGAAATTTATCAGTATAAATAATACAAATGAAAATTATCATAGGTAATATCATGAGTACTTTGGAAATTGTCGATAAATTCGTGACTTGCGAAGCGAGGAGGAGTTATGTTGTAGAACATGCTGTTTATTGGACATTGACAAAGCGATCGATGTATAATGCTTCTTAAGATCAGTCACAGTTTATGACTGGCCACTAGGTAGAAGCAGTAAGAAAAATCAAATAGAAAAAGCTATAAATGTTTTGAGATACACTGCCCTGATTAGGGCATTTTGTATGTATAGTTAAACACTATTGGATTTAATTTCACAAGTGGAAGAGTCATTGTAATTAATACAAAGGCAATTTTTATATTTTACCAGAACACACCTGATGATAAGAGCTCATAAAATTTAATGATTTGCGAAAGAATTTCTGATGATAAATTGTATATTGAAATTGCTTGGCCTTTTCTTAAACCTGAAGAAAATTCAGTTCAAGGTTTGACTCTCTAAATAGAAGAGACAAGCAGATAATAAAAAAAGTTCTGTGCCAATTGGACATCCAAAAATCTTTACCTTGGTAAGGTGAAGTGGCATTCATAAGTCCCTCTGCTGAAACAATGTGCAAATCTACTCAAGTATAATGGCTCAATACCTCAGTCACAGAATCTTAATGTACAATGTAGACAATGGGATGATAGGAATACAATATCACTGCTGGCATTCCACAAGATTTAATGCTAGGTTCACTGCTGTGAAATAGTTTGTGTGAGATCTTTTGGCTCCCCCTTCCAAGAAGAACCAAGGTCATAGGCTTTGCAGGTGACATTACCATTGTCACCAACGCAAAATGTTTAGAAGAGATAGTGGGTATTTGCAATAAAGCTGTCACATTCATCACTGGCACCATTCATCTTAATGGAAATGATTACTTAATGGAAGAGAAAAAAACCTTACTTTCAAGATTGAAGAAAACCAAATCTTATCATGACCATTCATCGAATGCCTCAGCCTTATTGTAGACCTCCTCATTCAGACATCTGGAGTATGCCAGCAAGAAAGCAGCGGTGGAAATGCTAGGCTACAATGAGGTTATTGCTGAACACCAGAGGCCGTGATGAGAAGAGATAACTCATGGCTTTTGTAGTCACATCTGTTTTGCTCTATGAAGCCCCAATTTGAACCACTTCTGAGTGTGTGAAGAGCAGTGGTGGCTCCTTGGGGTAGGCAAGGTAGGCTTTGCCTACCCTGATGAATATCTACAATAATAAAAATAATACATTACTAACCATTTTAATATGGTGTCAGTATTATTCATCTGGAAATGTATAGTGAACATATCATTATCGTGGCACAAGCCATATTTCCATTTCAAATGTTTTCTGACAGCCCATGTGCCATGCGATCTGTCTTTTCTCTTACTGCAGAGACATGCACCCACTGACACCTCTTAGTGTAGGTATGCCTGGGTGCTGCCTTGCTTTGCACCTTATTTTGAGAAATGACCCTAACAGTTGCCTGCTGTGTCCATTCTTGACACATGCACATTGTGCATAGACCAGTGAATTTGCTTGCTGCCTACCAGCATGAAAAACTTCAATTTCTACTCGCATGCAAGCTGCGTAGTGCATACGTTTACTGTTTTGTAGACGAGTTAACAAGCAGAGAAAGTTATTATTATTTAGGAAGTATTTAAGTTTTCATTTTTAATTAGCATGGTCCAGGTAATTAGTTTAACTTGATTTTTTTGTATTTAAATCTGATTTTATTATTATTGTTATGACATATACAGTGAATGAACCAACATGTACACCATTTTCTCATCTTAAAGACATAAGAAGAGACAAATTTTGGATAGTGGTCGACCTACTCCTACGTTGAAAATGGTTGTACATCGTGCTGGCGAGAAAAAAGCAAGAAAATTCAATCCTTTTGGGTATGATTAAAACAAATGGCTAACAGGTACTGAAATTATAGCTAAGCTTTATTGTTGGCCTTTATTGTCAATTAAGGAGTAACTTCTAATAGGAAAGGATATATTGACATGAAAAAATTATCAAAAGCTATAAAAAAACATGAAGTGTCAAAAGATCATCTGTGTAATTTAGCGAGTTTAAATGCCTGGAAAAAAATGGAATCCAATTTCCAAATTATTGTCAGAACAACAAACTTGCATCACTTTTTTAGAATCCGAATATCTTGAAATGTAGTATATGCATGCTTCATGGAAATAATGCTTTGTAATATATTGATATTAGTGATACAATTGTTTTGAATGAAATTACAAAAACAGTGGATAGAAGTGGGGCCTGATCCCCCATGCCCCCTTACTGGGATCAATCTGATCTGATCTGTCTACCCTGAACATTTGTTCACAATCCGCCACTGATGAAGAGTAGGGTGCAGGGAATGGCATTAGTGGCAATCTGTACTGATGCACATTTTCATTTCTTCTGCTGCTCTCAGCCAAACCTGTAATCAACATTCTTTTCAAAAATGCGTTGTGTACTGTGGGCTATTGCAGACTTATGCCAGACCAGACTTATTTCTGAATACATTTAATAGGTTCATTGTTTTCTCTTGCCCAGTATCTATCCTCTTAAGCCAAAGAAAAATATTGAAACCATTTTTTTCGAAAATAATGGTTTATTTTCATTTACTGTGTTTTGGTGTGGAGAAGTTGACGGTCTCAAGTGAAGCCATGTGTGTCATTGCAGAGATGCCCCCTATTGACATGAAGCATGAAGTGTGTAAGGAGAGTGAACTCCGATGTTGAAAGCATGATGGGGGTATATATGAAAAATGTTGCAAGCTAATTGAATGCACTAATCCTCAGCAACATCACACGATGATTATTCTCTCTGCGATGAATGAAGGAACTTATTGGGCTTTTTCCAGCCAATAACTTCAAGCTTACAATGCCATCTAAACTTAAGTGTGTGGAAGCAAATATAGATGGCATTGAATTGACACATAAGTTTGGTCGTCATTGTCTGCAAAATGCCATAAAAGATTCTCCCATTGATCGTGTGAGGTTGCTAGATGTGTGTGCCAGATTAGCTGCAGATTTTTCTAAATTTGCCCACCATCAGTGTTGAGACTCCTTTTTACAGACTTGATGATGTAGAGGCTTATGGTGGCAAGAAGCATTATGATAAAGGAAACGAGAGACTAGACTGTTTGAAACGGCCAGAAGAATGACAGAAACAGTGGGACACAACCTCAAAGAGGAGACACCTCTATCATGAGATTCTTTCAGTTGAATTGTGCATCATGAATGTGATAGAGCAGAGCAGAGCTCATCAAAAGACACATCTGCACCAAAAGCTACCACCAGCACTCAAAGTGAAAAGTGGTTGCTTAGTCATTAAATTTTAAATTGGTTAAAACTTTAATCCAAAGAGACATTACACTCTTAATTGGGCAGCAAAGAGTGTTACATTCACCTGGGAGGAATGAGCAGCAGTTTTAATAGCTTGAAAATAATTCATGTTGGTTATTCCCAGGTTTTAGTTATTGCTCACCCACGTTATTTATTGAACGTGTAAGAATATTATTAGCAAGTCATGAAATGCCCTAAACTTGTAGTGTTTTCCATAATTCCTCTAACGCAGTGATTCTCAACCTTTTCCTTTCATTGACCCCTTATAGTATCCTCTACAATAAACAGAATACATGATCATATCACAAAGATTTGCACGTACATGTTTTAAGACAACCATTTCATATACCAATATTGTAATAAATATCTAGATTTTCAATAATCAAAGACTTCTGCTTCTCAGTAGCTGCATTTCTAATCTTCTTTGTTGTGCAATGGTTACAAAATGTTAAGCGGTTTTATCTGTCCATACTATCTCTCTAGTGTGTATTGGAGGGAGTATTTTCTTAGATGTCAGAGTATCATTGTGAATACATTGTTATTTTGTTGATTATTCTTAACAACCTAAGCAGTTGCATAGCTAGATTCTCGGAAGCTTTGGTACAGAAAGTTGAAATGGGGCCTCTTATCTGCATTAAATATGAAATTGAGTTTTAAATTTAATTGTTATAAGATTATGGATGGTGAAATGGAGAAATTATGCATGGAGTGTGTTTTTGTTTTATTCTCTGTCGATATCCGTTCGCAGGGTCCTTACATGGGAGGACCAGTGCAGTGCACTAGTTGCA